TCCATCGTCCAAGACACTTTTTATAGAGGCTGCCTACATATTTGAGAGACTCAGGATTTTAAACAATAAACCAATTCGAAAGGTTTACTGCCCCCCCTTTTTTGTTGACCCCCTTTTTTTTTTGCAGGCATGGCTAGAACAAGTTCTGATGATAAAATGTGCTCTGACATGCACGAAATTGCTGAGTTTAAAAATCAAGGCAAAAGTTATCTGCGTTTCAAAGATACTGATGTGAAATACCATGCCCAGACCGGCGTACGAGGTAAACTTAAAGTTAGTGTCCATAAGCCAACGACAGATCCTTCCCCCGACCTTCTGGAGCCATTGTTGAAGTTGCATATGTCCACCATTAGTGATTGTCACGAGAGTTTGGATACTGGCAAGTCCAATCTCTCTAGCAGTCATCTTCCCTTTTTGTGTCTTCCGCCTCATCATTCCCAGAGCATGGAGTACATTCCAAGGGCTGTGATTTGTGAGAGAATTGATAATAGAGAGATACGATGGGGAAGCGCACTGGTCAGTCGAGGAGAGATTTCTTTTCTTCCAAAATTTTGGGAGTGGTCTTTGTGGTCCAGAAACTTCTACTCAAGAGGAATCTCTAAGAGTTAGCTTTTGCAGTTGGTTCTGCTGCAAAAGATTACCATCGTCCAAACTCCATTTACAGAGCTCTTTGTGAGGTTTGGTGTCCAGAAACCAACACCTTTGTGACTGCCAATGGTGAAATTGGCATTTCTCTTTGGGACATCCGTGAGATAAGTGGACTTTCGATGATGGGTCATTATTATGAGGAAGTAGTCCCAAGCCTTTCAGAGTTGACGGATCATCTTCCCAAGTCTTGTTTATATCTCTTTAATGTTTTCGCATTGATTGCCCATGCGAATGAATCTGACAGAGTTACTCACGAACAGTGGATTAATTTTTGGTTTCATGAGAATGGTTATGTCTCGAACCCTCGACAACACAAAAATTATAAGAATGCTATGAATTTAAATCCATTCAAAAGACACCATCAAAGAACATCGAAGGAAATACTGAGGCCCGTGGTGGCAGACAAGCCGAGAGACATTACTCGTAGGGATCGACATCATTGGGGCAATTTTCCAGCATCTCTGTCTATGGAAGAAGAAGAGGAATTGGAGATAGCAGCCTATCTCTCCCTATGGCTTTGTCGCTTCGTTCTTCCGTCTGGGGACGAAAGTCTAAGAGTTGGGACTTTATAAGCATCTTCTAGGATGGTAGGCGGGTACACTTATAGTCTAGTTCCACCCATATTGGTGAGCATTTATAGTGGACTTACACGAACATCTAACTATCAAGCAAATTCAGACCTTCGCTCAATTTCACATTCATTTCCTGGACATTTTCCTTATGCTTGGGCAGCAACTTATTTTGTCCGAGGTGTTTATGCTCATGTAGACAGGAGTTATTCTCGCCCTATAATTCGAAGATATGCTGGAACTCTGAATGCTTTTCAATCTTAGGAGAAAAATGTTGTTGATTGTCGGGAATTTATCCATGGAGCGATGAACACCGATAACTTTTGTTGGAATCCATTACCCTCATCATCTTATCCTGATGTACGTGTGGATGACCAACCGAGGTCTGCAGATACTTCAGAATTCATGATGAGTATTCGATCTGGATTTGTCTCTTATCGTCGAGGAAATTCACCTTTCATTATTAAGGCGTATAATCCTCACAGGTTTGCGAGACAGTTTGGCTTTAGACAGAAACTTCCCGGTTTACCAAGAAAGTTGAATATTGCCCCCAGTGTAGGCGACATGTATCGGGTTTGGTTGTCCCTAACTCGGATAAAAAATGGGTCTGTATTTCATATTCCAGAGTATGTGAGGGATATACATCAAAACATTGATGTTGAATACCAGGCTTGGTGGAATAGCAAAGTGTTACCACTCTTGACCAAGGTCCAGGTGCATGTCTTATTTTCTAGTGAGAGCCGTGACTTTGTTCTTGGCTCCACTCCGAACAGGGTTTTAGCTAGAGGGTTAAACCGTCCAAATGCTGCTCCTGAAGAGGCTTCTTGAAAGAGAGATTTAAACCAGCAAAATGAAAGAGGTATTAAGAGAATCAAAATTATAGTTCCCTCGGCAAAGGTTGCTGCCACCTCTGAACCTGCTGATAAGGTGCCAGAAGCAATTTTGATTCCAGATCATAGTAGTCCTGGAGATCGAGCATCACAAGCACCAGGAAAGACTGTGACTCCAGAAGATGAAAGTTCTGGAGATCAGGTATAGTTCTCCTTTTATTTTTTTATTTTTTATTTTATGTATTGTTTGTATCTGATTTTCTGTCACAATCTTCAATTTCAGGCTCCTCTTTCTCGAATATACAAAATCAAACGACCAATAGAACTGAGGCCGCTTCAAGCTATTTCGAGTCTTTTAAAAGGTGAAGTTGGAGCTTCTCACATTAACCTCAGCCTCCCGAACACATCATCATATGATGGATTTTTGGACATGTCGCCCAGGACACGAAATGCAGGTATGTGTCCTGTTGTTGTTTACTGCACTTTTTTCCCTTCTTCTTTTTTTTTTTTTTGAAACCATGTTCTATTTCTTGTAGGTTTTCCGAGCGTCCCTGAAGAATTAAATTTCTCCATGAATCCAAACTTTTTGCAAAATCAGACTGGGGACGGGCAAATCGATGCACTTCAAGGAATAGATGGTATTAATGATTCTCATGACCTTCTTTGCAAATATCCAGGCACCATCAATGAAGGCACTTTGGTGCATATCATGGACATTTTTAATGCTGAAGATGAAGTAAAATCAGGGACTATGAGAGTTAATATTTCAGAGGTCAATCAAGGAGTTCCTGTCGTTCCGTCTTCGTTGGCTCTAGTCAGTATTCCGCCTTCACAAACAAATAATCATTGGGTTGCACCAATCTGTTCTTTAATGTCTGGTCCTCCACCTGGAATTACCCAAGAGTCTCCTTATCTGAAGGCTGCTCTGCAAGAAGCTATGAATAATTACCTCCAGAAATGTTTTAAGGATGTCTTAAAGTATGGATTCTCCAATATTCGATCTTGGTGGGATGAAAATAATTTAATTCTTCAGAATGTGATTTCCAACTCATTCCACGTAGACCCAACACCTTTGATGAAACGCATGGATGTGTTTCTAAAAAAAATTGACTCTTACTTGTCTGAAAGAAAGCAGCACTTGGATTGTCCAACCGTTGAAGAAAAGGCGGAGGAGTTGAAACTTTTGAACATTCAACTGGAAGTAAAGGATTCCACGTGTTCTTCGTTGAGAGGCAAAATTAGTGAGCTAACCTTTGAGCTAGATAGACTTCGTGATGAACTTCAAGCCCAAGAGGAAGAAACAAGTATGATTGGAACCAAGAAGGCAGCATTGGAAGAAGCACAGGCAAGAGATGTCGCTAGCATAGCATCCATTGACTAGAAAAGGAAGACTCTTGAAGATAGTTTCTTGCGAGTGATCAATGGCGAGTGATCCTGACAAAGTCATGAATTTCTGATCTCTTTTTTTTTTTAAGACCATATTGTTTGAATTTTGACTTACTATTCTTATTTGGATGAACTTTTCTTTTTCATGTTTCTTGTGTCTTTTTTTACAGCAATTGATAAACAAATTGAATGAATTTATTAGTTGTGACTGAACTTGAATTTATAATTTATTCAAGCTGCCTATGTACCCAAACGGGATCAAGTCGAACGTAGTTCATTACAAGAACACAATTTTTTTTGTACAATGAAAAATTTAAAAATAAAAAAACTTTAGGCGTAAAAACGCTTTAAAATTTTCCATTTATAGGTCCGATTTGCAATCCATCTTTGTCGACGATCTTATACGCTCCGTTAGTGAATGCATGGGTAACAAGAAATGGACCATCCCATTTAGGTTGGAACTTGCCCCCTGTTTTTCTTGTGATTATGATTGGCCTGCGCACGGAAAGTACCAGATCTCTAACTTGAAATGATCTTGGTCGCACCTTTTTGTTGAAAGACTTGGCCATTCGAGCTTGATAGCACTCTAGATGCATTTGTACTTCTAACCTCTTCTCATCCAAAGCTTCCAGCTCTTCCAATCGAAGGCGGGCATTTTCTTCAGTTGTCAAACTTTCCTGAATAGCAATTCGAAGTGACAGAATTTGACACTCTAGGGGAAGGACAGCTTCTACCCCATATACTAAGGCATAAGGAGTGGCTTGTGTTGGAGTCCGATAAGTAGTTCGATAAGCCCATAAGACTTCGTCGATTTTCTCATGCCAATCTCTTTTTGATTTGGAGACAACCTTTTTCAGTAGACTGCATAGTGTTTTGTTGAATGTCTCTGCCAATCCGTTAGCTGCCGCATTGTACATAGACAAGTTGTACTGTTTGAATCCAAACTTTGCACATAAATTGTTTATGTGGCTATTGCAAAATGGCTTGCCATTATCAGCTATGATATGTCGCGGGACACCATATCGATAAATGATTTGGATACAAATGAAATCTGCGACATTTTCTTTCTTTACTTCCTTCAATGGTATGGCTTCGGCCCACTTAGAGAAGTAATCTGTCCCGGTGAGGATGTATGCATGCCCTGCTGAAGACTTTGGAGTTATAGGCCCAATGACATCAAGACCCCATGCATCAAACGGCCATGAAGCTATTGTCGGATGTAATGATTCCAGAGGTTGATGGATGAAATTTGCATGGATTTGGCAAGCTTCACATTTTCTTGCATAATCTATGGAGTCTTGTACCATAGTTGGCCAGTAATATCCCATCCTCTTTATTCGAAAATGGAGTTTAGGTTAGACTGGTGGGCACCACAAATTCCAGAGTGGGCTTCTTCCACGACCTGCGTTGCTTCTTCATTACTTATGCATCGAAGGAAAACTCCATCAAATGATCGTCGATAAAGTGTTCCCTTATAAAAGATAAAGCGAGAGGCACGCCTCTTGATTTCTGTTTTTCGCCTTGGATTATCTGGTAGCTTTTGATGTTGAAGGAAATCGATTATTGGCTATCTCCAATCTTCTCTTTCCTCATCTTCGACTACTTCAACACTATTGTTTTCTTCTAAATTACTGGGTACCAATGACGGAAGCACCCATCTTTGAGCAATTGATATGGAGTGGGAAAATTCTTCATCTGATCTAGCTAAAACAGCAGCCAAATTAGCTAAGGCACCAGCTTCCTTATTTTCACTTCTCGGGACGAATTTGATTTTTATCGAATCAAATCGTCTCATAATCATTGCTGCATGTTCATGATATGGCTTCAAGTCTGAATTACGGACTTCATATTCAGCTAAAAGTTGGTTGATTATCAATTTAGAGTCTCCAAAGACTTCCAGCTAGTGAATATCCATGTCTAAAGTTGTCTCTAGGCCAATGATAAGAGCTTGATATTCTGCCACATTATTCGAACATTTCTCTGTTAAGGTAAATGAGTAGGGCATGACGAGATCATGAGGAGTGATGAAGACCACTCCTGCTCCGGCACCATAACTTCGGGCTGCCCCATAGAAGTATAGCCTCCATGATGGTATGATTTCGGTGAATAGAACTTCTTCATCGGGAAGGTCTTCCTGAAGTTCCCATTCCATTGGAATTGGGTGGTCAGCAAGGAAATTCGCCAAAGCTTGTCCTTTAATGGCCTTTTGTGGAATGAATTTGATGTCGAACTCAGACAACAGTAATGCCCATTTTCCAATCCTTCTAGAAAGAATCGGTCTGGACATTATGTACTTCAATAGATCAATTTTTGAAACAAGATTGATTGTGTGTGATAGCATATAATGCCTCAACTTTTTAGCTATGAAGATTAACGCGAGGCACATTTTTTCAATAGGCAAATACTTCATTTCAGCGCCTACCAGTGTCCGACTCAAGTAATAGAGTGCATTCTCTTTTCCTTCTTCGTTAACTTGGGCAAGAAGTGCCCTCAGAGAATATTCTTGTGCTGCAACATAAAGAGTCAGCAACTTTCCTAGAACTGGAGCTGTGAGTACTGGTGGACGAGACAAATATTGTTTAATGCTTTGGAAAGCATTTTGACAAGCGTCATCCCATTCGAATGGTACATCTTTCTTCACTAATTTGTTGAATGGATGACAACGTTCGGATAGATTAGAGATAAATCTTCGAATGTATGCAAGTTTTCCTTGAAGACTTTTCAACTCACGTACATTTCTTGGCTCTGGCATGTTGATTATAGCTTCAATTTTTGATTGGTCTATTTCAATGCCCCGATGTCGAACAACGAAGCCGAGAAATTTTCCAGAGGTGATGCCAAATGCACATTTCAACGGATACATCTTTAACTGATGTCTTCGAAGTTTTTTGAAAACATCACGTAAATCTTGTAAATGATCGTCGCGTCTTTTTGTTTTAACAACAAAATCATCCACATAACATTCAACGTTCTTATGTAGAATATCATCGAAAATCTTTTGCATTGCCCGCTGGTATGTTGCCCCCGTATTTTTTAATCCAAAAGGCATAACTTTATAACAATATATGCCTTTTGGGGTACGAAATGATGTGAGTTCCTCGTCTTTTTGGTTCATCCGTATCTGATTGTATCCAGAAAATCCGTCCATGAAAGATAATACTTCATATCCGGTAGTTGCATCCACCATCAACTCTGTTATTGGAAGTGGAAAATCATCTTTCGGACATGCTTGATTCAGATCCTGAAAGTCAACGCAAATTCGCAATTGCCCGTTCTTTTTTTTAACAGGAACAATGTTTGCGATCCATGTTGGATATTTCACTTCGCGTATAAATCCAGCTTCAATAAGTTTGTTGACTTCCATTTCAATTTGAGGAATCAGTTCTGGTCGAAATCTTTTTTGAGGTTGTTTGACAAGTCGAACTCCATGTCTTATTGCAAGATGATGCACTGCAACTTCAGGATTTAACCCCGACATTTCTTTGTAAGACCATGCAAACACGTCTTTGTATTCGTGAAGCAAACTAATGTACTCAGATTCTTCCTTTTGATTGAGAAAGGCACTTACAAATACTGGTCTCGGGTCTTCTTTGGTCCCCAGGTTCAATTGTTTCAAGTCGTCCACAGTAGCTTGTCCACCTTCGTCAAAAGTATGTGGGGCTGGTTCAGGTTCATCAGTTGTGATAGAACTTTCGGACTTGGAGTCTGAATCGGGAGCTTCTTCAAAGGCTATGTGATTGACAGAGACTTCTTCTTTTTCTTCACTCTCCTTTTGGGACAGACGAAGTTTTTGCTATCTTCGTCTTCTTCTTGATCGTTGTGGCTTTAGGCTTGGATTAGAAGTTTTAATCCCAAGTCGAGAAAATGCGGATTGTCTTTGGGATGACGTTTGGGAAGCTTGTGCATTCTTATCAATTTGGATAGAAGAAGAAGAATCTTCGCTTATTCTTTGGAAGATGGGAACTTTACCTTTTACATCAACTATTGGGGAGGATTCTCCTTTTAACCTTTTAAACACTGAAACTCTGGCATTCTTATTTTCAATTCGATCAAACACTGAAGGTTTCGGCTGTTCAGATTTCTCTTCTACAACTTCAAAAATTTGAATCATGATGGGGTTTGAGGAAACCTTCTTGACCTTAATCTTTCTTGGTGGATTGGGATCATATCCCAAACCATACTTGGGTCGGGACACCAAGGCTTCATCAGAATTAAAAGGGGGATGCCCTCCTGAAAGGACAGCATCAAGATCACCTAATTTACGAGGCTCTCCTTTTCCAAACCCAGCATTTTCAAACAACTTTTTAACTTGAGGATTGTAACATCCTCTGAAAGTTTGTTTTGATTCAGCAACTCCTTCTTGTTTGGATGACCTGGAAATATAGAGTTTTGATATGTTCGGAAGAGATGTTGAAGCCTCTGATGTAGATTTATGTCCTTTCGAGCCCGCCATAAGTTGGTGGGGCAGAAGCAATTTTGGGATACTAGGTATTGGAAGAGTTAACTCTTTTCTCAATACCTCAACATCGATTGATTCTACTTGAGGTTCTTTGCCTTTAGAGAATTTTTTGGACGTAAATTTTGACTTATCTTTGATAAGTTGATGAGACTGAGCAGCACTAGATGTATCATGATCATTTGTATCTTCTTTGATTTTGAATCCAGACATGGTCAACCCTGAAGAATTATATTCTTCACCTTCCATGTAAAACTTGACATCGGCAAAATGAGATTCTTCTTCGAGAAAAGGTTTGGACTCAGCTACCACACATTTGACCTCTCCGTCTCGGTTATATTTGAAGCATTGGTGCCAAGTCGAAGGTACCACTCCAGTTTCGTGCAGCCAAACACGTCCAAGGAGTAACTTGTATGATGTTTTAGCATCAATGACATGGAAAAGAGCCGAGGAGATTAACTCTTCTATTTGCAACTTTAGGCGAATCATGCCAATGGCTCGCTGACCTTTTTGATTGAATCCATGAATCATGATTTTTCTTCTGGATAGATTACCAACATTGATTCCAATTTTCTTCATTGTTTTGACCGGCATAATATTTACAGCAGATCCACAATCGATCATCATGCAATTTATCTTGCACTCTCGAATATAACCGCTGACATACAGTGGTCTATTATGTGGACGTGATCCCAGTTGTAAATCTCCACCGTCGAATGTTATGGCGGCCATACAGTCTTGAGGAGATGTGGCTCCAATATGTTCTAAAACTTTGCCTTCATATTCTTCTGGATCGATTAATGCTGCCATCAAGGCCATTCGATCATCGAAGGGAAGGGCAAGAGACTCTACTAGACTTGTATTGGCAGGAATATTATTGAGTTGTGAAATAGTTTTCTTCTATTTTGAAGTCTGCTTTGATACGTTCTTCATTTCATCTTTCTCCTTCACATTGATTACGTTGGAGGTTAGACATTCTTTATCAAAGAAACCCTTAGGAAAATAATCACCCAAGTTCAGTAGTCTAGGAAGAACGCGTGGAGCTGCTCCCTCTTCGATTGATTTAGTAGATACTCTTGGCTTGACTTCAGGTCTCCTTCTTTGATTGTTCCTTGGTCTTGATTTCTTGTCGCAAAAGTTAGAATTTGGGAGTCATGGAGCCTTCCGACGACGTCTTTTCACTAAGGTCCATGCCCCATGATCTTCTTCTAGCGTTTCTTCTTCATTGGGTTGAATTTTCGTACCCAATTCCTCCAACTTTGTTCCTACAAGAGACGTAGAAGGTAATATTTTACCTATTTTGTTTGGCATTATGTATTTCTCTTTCTTCTTTATGAAGGTAGACCAGCCGTCACCAATCTCGTCTTCAAGTTCTAAGTCGGAATCCCAAACATCTAAGTCACCTGTCATAATTTCATAAAAGGTTGGACGATTGGGTGTGCTTGGTCCATTCATCCCTGGATAGATATAACTGATGGTGATTTCTCCGTCTACCTCAAATTTCATTGGGATGGCTCCTTCCGGGAGTTGAGGTCCAAATTCCTCAAGGGAGGATTTACAGGCATCGTGTACATTAGAGAATGTTTGTTTCTTTCCTGGAATGGGAATTGGGTCAAATGATCCAAATGAAATCATCGAGCATGTGGCTGTTGGATTCTCTCCAGTCTCAAGTTTGATCTTATTTTCTTTGTCCAAGCGAACAATAAGATCTTTCAAAACAAAGCATTTTTCCACTGGATGGCTAATGATCCTATGAAATTTACAGTATTTAGGATGATCGATCTTACCAGCCTCTTCAGGTCTTTTTGGTACTGGAAGTTCGATTATTTTCTGTTCAAGGAGCTGATCTAGAATTCCAGAAACTTCTGAATCTGAGTATGGGTACTCCCTTCCTTCAAGTTCCTTTAGAGTCACATGACTTCTGCTTTGGACTTGTCCTTTGTTAGGTCTGAACTCTAGCTTCGGTTTTGAATTCGAGCTCGACCCTTGGAAGGCTATCTTTGCAGGAGCCGTAGAAATCGCCATAGCCTCTTTGGATTTACTTATCTTAACGTCCTTCTTTATATCCTTCTTAGGATCTTTCTTATCACTTGGTAAATAACTCCCATGCCCTGCAATTTGGAGCTCCAGGTCTTGAGCGCGTGTCGCCAATTCTTCGAATGAGTGAGGCATGTTTGCTTGGAGATTATAGAGTAATCCCTAATGCATGCCTTGTACACAAATGTCGATGGAAGATGCTTCACTTATTCGTTCTTTACAATTAAGCACAAGGTTTCTCTAGCATTCAATGTACTCTACTACAGGCTCTTCCTTGCTCTGCTTTGTTCGAGCAAGTTCTGGAAGGCTGACAGTTCGTCGGGTGCTGTAGAAGCGTGTTAAGAACTCTCACTCGAGTTGATCCCAACTATCAATTGACCCTGTCGGTAAGTCTGTGTACCATTCAAATGCAGAACCTTTGAGGGAGCGTACGAACTGCTTCACCATTGTGTCATTGTAAGTACCTGCATTATTACATGTCTCAATAAAATGAGCAACATGTTGCTTTGGGTTGCCCTTTTCGTCAAAACATTGAAACTTTGGAGGTTGGTAACCAAGTGTCATCCTTATTTAGTCGATTCGACGACTATAGGGTTTGGCATACACCAATGAAGATTGCAACGAACCACCATATTGGGCACGAATGGTGTCCGCAATCATATGTTGAAGTTGTTGGGCGGATAGAGAGCCAACGGAGAGTTGAGTGGCGTCACACAACACATTTTGAACAATTGTTCGATCATGTATATCTTGCTTTTGCTGATATTCTTGGACTTCTAACTCTTTGGCCTTAGAAGATCCTAAATTTTTCCGATCTTCTTTAAGAGGTGGATTTTGCGACTCTAGTTTATGCATGAGTGCGGTAAATTGGGCATCTTTTTCTTCTAACGACTTTGTTAATTTTTCCATAGCTAAAGCCATTTGTTGGATTCGATCATTTGAGCCCGATGTCGCTTCTGTGACCATCACTGGCTCAAGTGATTCTTCAGATGAAGTATCATCTTCCCACTTTTGCTGAGAAGTAGCATGAGGGGATCCAGATAAGGATCTACCACTGGAGATGGATCCCGAACGAGAGTTTTTCGTCGAACTCATGGTTTTTTGTGTTGAATGAGAGTTTGGCTTTCTGAAGGCAATTTTCGTTCTGTTTTTGTTGGAGAATTTCTTTAGTGATGTGACCAGTTGAGTTTTCCCTGTTTTTGTTTGGGCCCTGGTCGCGTGGAAGAGTTCAGCAAGTGTCTCTTCGAGATGAGTCATAGTTTGATTTGCCTTTTCGCCTACCATTGCTGATATAGTATTTGAAATTTGAAGATTTTGAGATCAAAAGATGAGAGGACAAGAAGGTCCCACTGGGCGTGCCAAGAAATTTGTACGACGGAATTTCGTGTATTAAAATACAGAAATCGTTACAAATTGTATTTTTGAGAAATATAAGTGATGTTGACCTTCTTGTAGTTGCAAAATTGCAAAATCCTCTGATTAATGATCTGAATATTTGAAGACGAGGGGCCACGTGGCTTAAATCGTGATCTTCAATAATTTGTTGAAAATTTGATTTGTTGATATTTGACTTGTTTAGAACTTGAATCTTGATGCTTGGACTTGGACTTGAATTTGATTTAATTTGAAGAACACTTTGATCTTCTTGAATTTGGTGTGAACCTGTTTGATTCGAAGAAGATTTTTATCTTCTTGGGGTTCACCGAGTTAAGGCTTGACAGAATTTCTTCCATTCTTTCAGCCTTGAGATTTCTTCAGCACTTCGTGGTGTTCTTTGCTTTCTTTTCTTGCTTGCTTTCTGTGTGTTATGGACCATTGGTCTTATTTATAGGGGACGATTCGGGCTAATTTTGGTAATTACTCAATTATATTTAATTAAAAGAGATAATTGAGTAATTATAGCTTTATTTATTTGTTTGTTTATTTATTTAAAATGTGGTTTGGGCTTTTGGTTTTTGCTTTTGGGTTTTTTTATGAACTTTAGTAGACTTAAGATTTAATTGGGCTAATGATTTAAATCAATTCAGTCCATTTTATTTTATTTACTTATTTATTTATTTTTTATGTCTACAGATGTGAAATATTATTTTGATCTAATAAAAAATGATAAATTAAACACCCTTTTAATTTATCACAAATTCACACTCGCCGTCCCAATTGACATCTAGCAATGTATCAGGGCAACACATGTGACGGAAAATGTCACGTGGTATGACAAAATCAAAATTGTTTGTTTACCATGAAATTATAATCCTTTAGTCAATATGATCCGACAACTACGAGATATGGAAGTGTGTCAATCTCGATTATCGATCATATCTTTCATTCTACTATTAAGTCAATATGAGTCGAAAGCTTCTTTTCGACTTATATGTATACATTGGCCAAAGATTTCCTTATTGACTTAATTGAACGAAATACAGATCACGGTCTCTTACTATCTAAGAGTGACGAATCCTCTATTAGTCATTCACAACCTTCATATGGTTGTTGACATACCCGAATGATGTCGTATTAGCGGCCCTTGACAGAGCAACATCCAACACCATCAAAGCATGACTGTCCTCATACAAGGCACCATGATGACCTCAAGTTATAGGACCAATTTCAGTACCGAACGTTAGAGATTAACCACTGATACTCAGATAATTATCCATGTGGAATCTCTTAGCGGGTTTCCAAAGTTTTGTTCTATAACAAAACATCCACATGTTCATTTAAGTGTCACCACAATTTAGCTCGTGAGATCAGCTACTTACTTCACAAGTAAGAAATACCACATGTGATGGTCTAACTGTATCAACGATATCCGTATCGCGTTATTACTTATGATTACGGTTTATTCAAGATCCAATCATATGTAATTTGTATCTCACAATCACTACTCCTTGTGATTAACAAATCACTTAAACTTGGATCTTCGGATTCTATTATTTAAAATTATTTATCAAAAAATTAATTTAAATAAATAATAGATCTTACCAAAATTAAATGCATTAAACATATTAAAAGCGTTTACAACCTAAATCGATTGGATATAGGGCATAACACTTACACCTTCTTCGTCAATCAAATGTGAGAAATCACGAGAATTCTATATGTTTTTTGCCTTTTTGGGTTTGGTGTGATTCTCTCGAGTTTTGTTTTGGTTCCATGTGCATACTTTTTCTATTTTTTTTTACGTAAAGGGTCTAAAATCTTAGAAGTTGTTTGTTTTATAGGGGTTTAAGCTTACATGGAATGGAGTTTTCAGATTTTAAACCGAAAATATGTAATTTGGAGATATCGAAAATAATTAGCTGTATTTTTTCCCTCCCCTTGGGTTCATTTTGGGTGTTTTTTGATTTCCTGTTTTCTCCTTTATAAAATTTCGATATCTGTCTTAAATATTTTGTTTCTGTTTATTGGGTGAAATGTCCTTTTCTTTTTTCAATACATTGTGCTTTGATCTAGATTTATAAAGGAAATTGGGGGTAAATTTTGTAAATTTTCTTAATTGTCATTTCAATATTTGGTCCATTCTTACAACTTCAATCTCATGCTCGTTCATTGATATTGTGCAAGGTCTGACTGATAGTCATCTCTTGGGATCTCTGTCTTTTTCATTTTCTGTTGGCAGCAGATATGAGCACTTGTACTTTAGGGTTTAATATTCTGTTAATGTAATTATACGTTGCGTTACCTTGATGTTCTTTTGTTGCAGAGATATGTATAATTTTTTTGAATGTAGCTTCTTTGCGTTTTCTTGTTCTTTGGATTATCTACCCTTCTATTACCTTAAA